TTGGAACTTTTGTCGTTTGCCATAAAGGTGATTCTTAGTCTCTCTGATTAAAGGGATGTGGTTTCTTTCTGTATATTTGTGGAATAACTGTTCTTTTTTGTCTTAAGTATAGTCATAAATACAATGCTGATAACCACTCTTCTCGGGGCAAAACAAGGCCGAAGGAGCAATCTCTCTGACTTGCAGTGAACGTGCTCTATGGCCCCTTTCACATGGAGAGACATTGTCCACGGAAAGAGCGTCACCCTCCCAACCGAGTCAACTTTATCAAGCGTTTACGTGAGAAAAAGGGTGGCCCCTTTGCCCGAGCCAAAAGCTGACCACAGCTTTCGCGCATGCTCTGATTGTCTCGAGTTGACTCGGCTGAGCGAGCCAAAGTGTTAGTGTGGAGAAACTTTGACCCGAGGAGGGTGAAAAGGGTGCCCCAGCTTGGCGGGTAAACCTTCTAGCTGAGCCAACGTTTTGTTTCTCATTCATCTTTTTGTTTCCTGAGGCTTGCTCGGGTAGGCGAGTGACTCTTCTACCCGGAGGTAAACACTGCCTGAAATAAAGGGTTTTGTTACCTCATTATCTCGAAGGCATGTTTCGCTTTATTCGAAATACCGACATTTTTTGAAGCCCAGCACGAAACATTTATAATTAATAATATCCATGAAAATTGATTTGGAAGAATAGTGAATGAGTTTTAAAGAAGAAAATCGGGTGGTTCTCAAGAAGCAACAGGAGTAGGGATATTTTGTAAAGAACTATACTGATGAGTAAGCAAAGATTTTTTTAGCAAGCAGAGAGTCCAAATCAGTTTACATCAGGCCGTCAAGGTACGTCATTATTATTCGAAAGTCCATAGACTTTCAAACTCCTTTAAGAGAATCCATTGTGTTGTTAATTTGCAAAGGAATAGACTAATCGAAGCTCATATTAGCCTATACGGGGTGGTTTTTCTCTTGCCAACGTAATCTTCTTTCGAAAACGTGAGTTGTCTTTGATGGATGGAAATTTTACCACCGTCCTGGATTTTAAACAAACACTGCCAGGCCTTTAAGTGGGAACTATGGACCGCTGCTTGAATTTTCCGAAATTAATCTACTTGCATGTGGCGAACTTGGGTATAAGGGCCACCCAGAGGCTATTTCAAAGAATTAAAATAAGCTTTTTAACTTTTAATCATACAACCCTAGACACGTTTATGTTAACGGATAATGTTAGGGAATAACAAAAGTTCGCAAGGGAAAAACAAACGGTTTTCTGAGTTTTCTAGAAACTCAGTATTGAGGGTTATTAATACTAATGGATATCGAGGGATATTACCGTTGGAGTACTCTTTATCGGGAACCACGAAAAATTTCAACTCTTCATAGCCAGCCAAGGTAAGTAGAATTCAAAGTAAATAACATCAAAGCAAAAAGAAAAGAAAAAATACTGAAATCCTTCAAACTGAAAATTTTTAAGGGTTTATCGAAATAGTACAATCTGGGACTAATTTGCAAAGAAGATTAAATTTCATTTTTTCTCATCTTTTGGTACGTGATGTTTTGAACTTATAATCCATACACGATAAAAAGGAGGGCCCTGTGTTTTACTCGTTAACTCCGTTAAGCAACCATCCAATACTACCTCTGTTCATGGTTGAATTTTTTCAAAGAATCTCTTAATTAGTACAACTGTGTTTTTACAATAAGCGTTTCAAAAATGAGTTATTCGTAAAATGTACAACTGAAGCTTGAAATCTCACTTCTGTTGTTCACTGAACCTGTTTTATCATGTCATGTGCTATTACTGCCTCGAAGTATATTTGAAATGGCAGCATCTTTGCCAGACGTTTGAATAATCACCTGGTCACTGTTTTTTTTGAAGTTCATGTCTCTGTAAAAATTAAATCTCACAATCAATAATACAGTGTGGATGACACAAGGCTTACTGCCATGTAATAAAGATTTTCTACCTAAGAGCAAAGACACCTTGATATATTTTGTATTCAAAACAATAATAATAATATATTAAGTCATGGCCCCAGTTTTTCCAAGTGGGAATATATCTACCGGATAAATTACTATCCAGTAGATAACCAATTGCGATATCCAGTGGATCAAGAGATTTATCCAGCGGATAGCGTTAAATGGACGAGCGGACCTTTTAAATAACTGGAGCCAGAAAGCTCAATTCATACTTTGAAGCTCTAGAATAGCTAAAAATTAAATGCAATTTGCTTTTAACACAAGTAGGGTCGACCTGTTAACTGTGAAAAACAACGTATCTGGTTCCTTAGTTGGTCAATAGGAATTACGATTCCTTTTTTGTTGTTGTTCTACTACAGGTTTTTTTTTATATTCTAGGGCATTCTACGATGAATCATGAATGGGTAACTCCTCCGTGGTAAGAAGGGTAAAGTGTTAAAAAGATATGTGACAATTTACTTTAATTCCTTGCTGTTCCATTCTGTGTGTAAACTTCTTAATCTTAGTAAAATGCATTGGAGTTAGAATAACATTTCCGGCAAACGCCAAACTTCAAATTGTACCACGTGACCAAGTTTTTCCTTTACCCATATAGATTATTATTCATTATAACTAAACAAAAATTTGGTGACGCCAGTCTCATTCAAAAGAATTATACTGGACAGTTTTATCTCCTTATTCCCTATATTTGAGAAATTTGCAAATTGAATTTGACCTTTTCCTTTTTTCCGCGAGCGCGATTCTAAATTTTTCTAATAACTCTTATGTCCACGTGAAATTGAGGTATGATTTAGATCTTTCTACTGTGATAAACAGATAAAAAAAATCTCCCTGGCCGTCCTCAAGCGTCAGATGAAAAACTTTAAAAGAAAGCCTTTAATGTCTCTAAATTCTTGGCTTTGTCGTGTCTTTCTCCACAGACAGCTATGTATTGGCAGTTTCTCTGCGCGTTGCTGGGTTTGATGAACGCTTGGCAGGTGTGTGGGAGAGGTAAGTTAAAGCTCATCTATTTATATATTTTAAGCGATAAAAACACTTGAAACTCAGGGAATAAGTGGAAAACACACTGGTGCCTTAGATTATGCGCATACGTGTTAGGGGGACCCGGACATTCATCCCCGGGATACCCTTGTTTACCGGGACATTCATCGCCTGGATACCCTGGTTCCCTCCATCTCATCATTGGTCTTCCTCGATTTGTGCGAAATGTGGCAATGCTGACACCTATATGAAAGAAAACCGGAAGTCAATTTATTCATTTTGAAATTATAGGTCAACACTATGCTACCAACCTCAACATTATGTCTCCACAGCGCTTAACACTCAACGTTCCCTGATTTTCTGCGCTTTAAATTCTAACTTTAATTTAAATGTGACTGTTTCAACTGTAACACCAAGTTATAACATAAATTTGTAATCGAAAAAGTGAGCAAATGCGACGATTGAACATGTATTGATTAACTACTCTCTCTCGATCTTATTGCTTTCCTTAACGCAGAGAAAACCTTTACTGCGTTTAACTTGCAGATCCATGTACCGATTACACTGTACTGAGCGAACCGGATAGGTACATCGGTTACGAGAATGTGGACGGTAATGTAACTTCTGACTCGGGCATCGTAAATCAGTGGTATCGGTTCATTGGTCTAGCTGGGACATCTATGTCAGAAAACTGTCCTCAGACTCACCGCTGCAAAGCCAACGCGCCTGGATGGTTAGAGGGCAGCCATCCAACAGTTGAACAGGGAGAGGTGACAAGGAAAGTGTGCTTTACATGGAACGGAACATGTTGTAGTTGGAGTAGTGACATTCACGTGTTGAACTGCGGAAAATTCTATGTCTATAAGTTGGTACCACCTGACTCCTGGCAGTCCAGGTACTGCGGGGACCATGGTAAGTGAGCTTCATCCAATGCATGCAAGGCAATCCAGGGCAGTCTTAGATTCTGGATTCCACGCCATGGATTCCGGATTCCAACTTTTAGTGGGCTTCTGGACTCCGTGAGCTGTAATCCGGATTCCAAATCCCGGGATTCCGGATTCCCTTACATGGAGTGATGAGCTGATAGGTTTGGCTGGTAAGGATGGTAGAGCTTTGAAGTTGGGATTTTCGCAGCGATGTCTCCAAATTCACTTTAGTACATACTCCCAAGTCTAACCGAGTTTATCTTACAGGATCTTACAGGAAAAAAATTGCTCATCAGTTAGATGAAGGGTCCAATGCGTCTTACAATTTATGACCTTTTAAAAATATAAAGCCAGTCCAACTTAAAAGACGACAAGAAGAAGTAGGTGAACGAACACTTGATTTATATCCTTGATAGAAATACCTTTTTTCGACAAAATAAATACCATGTAAATAAAATTTCAACCAGAAGGCTGTGGTACTTCAAGAATCAATACAACAATAATCAATAATTATGTTGCAATTGTTAATCTGTAAATATTTGATTTCGGAATTATTCCTTCAGTTTTTCCAGATACTGATGAATGCGCAAACCATGACCATGATTGTGGTAATGATGCGGTCTGCTACAATACATATGGCTCATTCACATGCAGCTGTATTCAGGGATACAAAGGAAATGGCAGACAGTGTGATGGTACACAAATGACTTTATTATCATGCTAATATATGTTTAACTCCAAGGCCTGACTACGTTCCATCCTTTTATTCAAGAAAAATACTGAAAGACATGAATGATTGTTTAACATTTTTTATAGTCAGTTCATGAAAAGCAACTAAATTGCCTAAACAATTTATCGTTTGTTTAGATGAGAATGAATGTAAAGCTGGGACACACAGCTGTGATGCAAACGCTCAGTGCAGCAACACGATTGGTTCCTTTACTTGTACTTGTCTAAAAGGATTCTCAGGAAATGGATTAGTTTGTTCTGGTAAGTTTTTATTCAGTGATTTAGACTAACTAACTTGCGTTACCGTATTTACTCGATTAAACGCAGCTCTCGATTTAACGCCAGCGCCAAATCATTATTGAGGATTATAAGAACAAAACTCGGCGCAACCTCGTAATCTACACTGTCCAGACACATTAAGATCCTGTTTCAGCAAGAAGCGAGGAATGGCAGCTTAAAACGTTTTCCTATTTTACATAATACTTACAAATAATTTATCGTAATTGTATGTCAATGGTTTGAGAAATATGATTTTGAAATAGAAGCGGCCTCCGAATGGGCCGCCCATGAATAAATACGGTAGGTCAACAACATGAATAGACTGAAATGTCATCAACTTCATATGTGTTTAATTAAAAAAATGCGAATAATTTCTTTTTATCCCTAGCTAGTCACCTTGAAGGGTAGGGAAATTTACTTTTTTGTCACCCAAGTCCATACGGTACTTATACAATACAATCCTAAGTAAATGCGGTAATCACATGTATATACGTGTATGAATAACCACCATATCAATACAGCAGTGGTCTTTGGTTTTTCTTACTGCCTGCAGATGTCGATGAATGCGCAATGGCAACCCACAACTGTCATGAACTGGCTGTCTGTAACAACACCGTAGGCTCCTTCAACTGCAGTTGTCGTAATGGCTACACTGGGGATGGTCTTGTTTGCAAACCCATAGGTGAGCGGTAAAAAAATGTAGTACACAAAAGAAACTTATATCTGTAGGTTTTAGTTGTCATTAACTCAAAATAAGAGTATTTGACACTTACAAAACCATTAACAATCCATAATAATTGATTCTTTTTCTGGTTTAATTTGGTCTCCGATTTTGTGGTCAACAACAACAACAACAACAAATTTTATTGAAAATTGGAAAATAACTAATTACATTACTTTCCCACCCGCAAATAGCTTATAAACTAATCGAGGCGGGGGGAGCTGAAGACATATTACAAAACAAGATTTATATATAGATGGGCTAAATAACGGTGAAGACACTACTATACAGTAAATAGAATTTAAACTAACATAAAACAAGGCAAGTACATAACGATTACGAAGAGAGGCTAACCTAAAGTATTAAATAACTTCTCTGCTATGTCACTGCGTTCCGCCGCAGAGAAAACGTTTAAGTTCTAATAAGCAGAAAGGCAACAATACGTTGAAATAGGAAGGACACGACCAGTTGTGTTTATTGGGGACGAGAAAAAACTAACGTACAAGAAATAAAGTAGTGGCGGAGAAAAACGAATTACATCACTGTAAACTACGAGACTAAACGTAAACAGCATACTAGAAAAATTAAGCTCGGCAAGGTGCGAGCGGTAAAACTGGCTGTGTCGAGTGACTAACGCGAGAGGAGACAAGGCTTAAATACCGAGATGTGACGTAAAATCCCTAGAGGATCAAACTGCGGCCATAAATGCAAATTCCGAACATAAACACATTTAATAAGACGTTAACGTTGAAACTTTAGATTTGAGATCGTTATTTTCTCAACCTAAGTGTTATATTTAAATTACTGTTAGTATTAAGAATGACCAGAAATACATAGTTTTACCGTTTGAAATAATTCCTTAATGTAGTCTTTGATCTGATTATCAAATAAAGTGATACACATGTTCTCATACCTATATCGCTTAGAAACTGCGCTGTACATGTATTCCCAGGGAATGCAACTTTTTTTTAGAATAAATGTTGAATCGCAATAAAATTATCTCAAGGGGTCAACTCGTTCTTAACAAAGAGGTTAGAAATGTAAAAAGGTGTGATTTAAGAAATACACCAGGAAGTAGCACTCACTAGCCTCACTAAAGTCATAATGTATGCGTTTTTAAACTTATTTTCTTACTCTCACAGGAGACTTTACAGTAACCATCGTAGGTATTTCCAAGGACAAAAATAATGCCACCATTATCGAGCGATCATTGAAAAGTGTTCAGCAAGCGGTAATTGAAGGTTTTCCAGAAGATGTTCCAGTACTGGAAAGTTTGTTGCAATGGTATCTGGTGAGTGAAGCTGAATTAGCAGCCTCAGAGTCAGCAGGGGGAACTTTAGAAAGTCAAGGAAGCACCGAGTGGCAAATAGGCCGGAGGTCCATACCTGCAGGAATTTACCAAGTCAGGTTTACTGCCTCCTTTAAGGTCGGTGATTCAGCGGCGCCGAGGTCTGTTCAGGCATTTAACTATGGTTTTATTGAAGTCATTCCTGGTCCTCTACGAGCAATCATTGACGGAGGAAGCAGTGTTCGCTGGGGATCACCAGAAACTGTTACAGTGGATGGCTCACTAAGCTACGACGGAGACATTGGCCCTGGTAATCACACTGGCGTTGGTTTTGTTTGGTCCTGTAGAGAAAAAAATGAAGAGTATACTGTTAGCAATGACTGCTTTGGTGCGTTTGTTGACGGAGCAAAAACCGTCACCGTTCGTATTGATACTGGAAAACTTACCTTCGGGAAGACTTATGTGCTAAGATTAAACCTGTCCAAAGACGTGAGGAGTTCCTTTACGGAGATGTCATTTGAGATAGCAGTGGGCAAGATACCTCAAGTGAAACTGAGGTAAATGTTACAACTGTATAACACCATGAGTTATACAAATAATGCGAGGATTTCTTTGTGTACATTTTAATACATAACGTTGACATTTTGGGAAAAATGTTCTTAAAAAGAAGCTCGTTGTGTGTGAGTGTCAAATTTCACTAAATGACACGTTGCACATGAAATTTTCAGAATTTCACCTGTTTCACAATTTTTGTGAAATTTGACATTCATTTTCTCGGGCTCCCATAAGAAATTTTCTTTGGTGTTACTACAGGTAACTAATTACAATTATAGCCCTTGAAAAATGTAAAAGAGAATGCAATATTTTTGAAATTATTCTGGTAGAAGGGTTTTGTCCGCAGAAAATTAAAATTATTCAATTTCCTGGTGGATTCCATCCTATAAACATACATATTTTCCCTGGATGAAGGAAGTTTTTGTTGGTTACGACAACTAGTGTTTATTGGAATTGATAACGAGACCGTAAAAAATGAAGTAAAACAATAAATAATAATAATAATAATAATAATAACAACAATAATAATAATAATAATAATAATAATAGTAAAAAACGGCAATAAACCAATGGCTTTTTTTATTTGCTTCAAATATAGGTGCTTTGTTGATTGTGGAGCCATAGTTTCGGCCTCCAGTAAGCTTAGATTGACGTCAGAATGCTCCAGTGCACCTTGTAATGGCTCCGTTTATGAATGGCACTTACAAAAGTTGAATGATGTCAAGAACACATGGGAAGAGGCAACTATTTTGCCAAACATGACTTCAACAGGATTAAATGCTAGTAACATTATCATCAAGGCAAATGTGTTACCCTCAAGCACAAAATTTACGTTGAGGCTGATCGTAACGTCGCAAACGGGATCCCAAGGACTCGGAGCGCTACAGTTTGAAACTGCTGGAGAGCCGCACGGCGGTTACTGTTCTCCATCGGTCAGAGAAGGTGTGGCACTTGAGACAGAATTCATTTTTGAGTGTTTTAATTGGGAAGATAAAAGTAAACCTTTAAGCTATGAATTTCGTGTTGGGGATGATCCATTTTCTTATGGCAGCTCTCCGAGGTCTGTTTCAACAGTTTTGTCAAGTGGGAAAACAAAAGATGATCACAAAGTGGAAATAAAGATCATAATTAAAAATTTTGTTGGTGTAACGGTTACAGAGACACTGTTTGTTAAGGTAATCATACTGTTTTCTAGTATGTATGTTTTGCTTTACTTGTTAATATCTATTGGCCTTCTGTACAGGTGCTCAGGGCCTTGTACTCCAAATCGTCCCTCACTGTGGAACCCTTTGCTGTAACGTGGATCGTTTTTGCAGTACTGCTCTCTCGGTTCATAAGAATTACGTTCTATTCAAACAAAATTTGATATCTGGAAATGCTTCTTTCCCTTAACAAAGTTCTTACAACAGAAAGTCTGGAAACAACTGAAGCATACAGAACCTGTATATCTGCAGCTGACAAGGGAGAAGGCCAGGTGGTGATCCTCCTCTATGTTAAGAGTATAACAGAAACTTTGAGGAGAATTCTGCGAGACACATTTTTACTGTCGAGTGAAATCGGTGTCAACTTAATCAGATCGATAATTGAGGAGATGTTCCCAATTTCAAGACAATGTGGAGATATTTATTTATTTCCACCTAAGGAAATGTTTCATCCCGAAGCAGTCGCATATATTTTGGCAGCATCACCACGAATAGTTAAAACTTAACCGGCTTTTACATTTCACTCCAACCAACAAAGCCGTGAATGAACGCCAGTCTGTTTTAAAATTAGAACGGCCGAAGAAAATTTAGTATTTTAACATCTTCTGGGTCAGATACAATATATAATCTTTTTAGAGTTTTATACCTGAACACTACGCGCTTAAACACTGTAATTTCCTTTTAATTGTTGACTATAGGTCACGCCGTCTGACAAATTTAATCCATGCCTTACACCAGTCGAAGACGTTGCTAGTGGACTTACAAACCTTGTAATTAGGGAAAGCAGTGAATTGAATGAACTATTGAAAAAAGGAAATATCAGCCAGGCCGCACAGTTTGCCTCTTCTGTCATGAGAACTGCAAATGAGAAAACAGATTGTGGACAAGGATTAAGTAAAAATGTTACAGCAGCGGTAAGAAATTATAAAGTAAAAGCATTTACCTGACACTGGCGTTTTTTTTTTTTTAGAGGAAAAGGATAGAATTTCGAAAGAATGAGTACGAAGGCTTTTTCTTTGTTTCTATTCAAATAAGAAAAAATTGTTTTCAAGCTCCCATTAACTTACCATAGACTGTTGCAGGCCCCAAGATAGTAGTGCAGTAGTGCAGTAAAAAAGAGATCACCAACGCCCTCTTCCTCACATTGCTCACGTCTTATCTTCACTTGGCTTGCTTTTGTTTTTTTTCGTTACGTCCCTTCTACGTGAGAGCCAGTCACACGCTATCATTAACTGTACGAGGGATAAAGAATGCAAATCTCTTTCAGTTGTTCAGAAAAAAAAGTTCGTATTTCAAACGGAAAATTTATTTCGAAATAACATGATTTTTAATGGCTTTTTTGTGTGTTCTTAAAACAGATTTCAGGTCAACTTCTAGAAAAAATCACAGCAATAAAGCCTGAAACTCTTCAGATGTCTCAATCGATTATGGCAGTTGTCATAGAAGCGACTGAAGATCAATGGAAGCAAACATGTGACAATTGCGAAGACGTAATGGTACTAAACTTATGTTCATTCATGTGTATATGTAGTTATTAAACTATCAGCACATCAAATGTTTACGATCGAACATCAGTGCATTTTTCTTTCTTTATTTTTTCTCGCTTTTGGGTAAAAAAAAATGAAACTTTTTATCTGAACATTTCTCTTATTTTGAAGGGGATGACAATTAACGTGACAGACTCTGCAATAAAGTTAATGTTAAGTGCTTTAAGTGACGAAGAGGAGCCTTTTAATGCCGAAATAGCAGAAACGGCGACAAGGATCACAAGTTGTCTCGACAACGTTCTTCTCTCGGCATCCGCACAGTCGCTAGACTCTCCATCATTGGCCAAGGTACTAATCATAGTAGCTAATCGTAAGCAGTCACAAAGAGAAGTTTGGGGGGGGGGGGGTGAGCAGTGACAAAATTAACTTCATGAGACAGAATATTGAATGCAGTTCGGGGCTGCAAATAACAGTCGGTCATCGGACATTGGCCGACCAAAATTTGCCAGTGTCTGACAAAATCCCACCTGTGTTTGGACATCTCAAAGCTCACGAAACAACATTGACTTGGTTGTGAAGTTTTCTTTTACATCAGTGTGGTATGTCCTTTATTTCACCCGATATAAATTTCAACCTTTTTTTGAGATGTCCGACCAAAATTTTGTTGTGTCCGACCAACATGGTGCAGTCCTGGTCCGATTTTAACACCCAAATTTATTTCTTTGTTGTATACCCCCTGCAAAGCATAAAAAATGGCATTGAGAAACTGAGTGAAAAGGGAAATGGTTTTGCTAGAAAAATTGTTTCCTCTTATATCTACAACCTGCTTAAGAGCCATTTTCTGAGAAAATCGAGAATCGCAAGACACTCGTCAAAAAATCGAATTTTTTATTATTTTGCCAAAACATCCCTTTTAGTGACCTAATTTAAGGAAAATAGTTTTGGGTTCAAACGATTCATTTTAAAGGAGAAATTAAAAAAAGTTTGAAAAATCGATTTTATTCCTGTTTTTCGAACAAAACACGGCAGGATGCAATGGCAACTCCGAGAGAAGGGTGAACGCGTAAGAAACATTCCCTGACACTGAAACTTCACCGAATTATTATTTTGTTCTTACTCTTGAAAACCTTAAAAGAAAATTTGAAAAACAATGTCTTATATTTTTATAATCGACAAGTCTAAAGAGGTCGTATTTGTGACGTTAGACATGCTAGAAAACGAAGGCCAACTTTGACTATTAAAAAAGGCCTCTGGTATATGCCGCTTGATCATAAAATCAATATAAAATGGAACCTTGGCTTTTGTACTAACTTACTGGAAAGTTTTAGCTCTGGAAATCAAATACCATTCTGACACCAAAGCAAGTGGTGAGAGCAATTGAATTGGGAAATTTATGCAAATTAGACGGCTTGCGGACGGTTGTCAAACTAAAAGAAAGGTTTTACATGAAAGGATTACTCACCATTGCTTGTAACACGTTTTTACGGCAAGGAAAGTTATTTCCAACTTCTGTTGCGTCGGTTTGAGTCGCAAAATCCATAATTTTAAGCCAAACGGTCCAAAAGACAAACGTACGTTTGCTCAGCGACTGCGCCAGAATCTGGCGGTGAATCGAAATGAAGTCACAACACGTCACTGCGGTCCTTTTTAGTTAGAAGCAAGAGTTGCAAGAGTTTTTACTTCAGTCAGGAGGTCAAAAGATTGAAAATTCATCGCAGACTAATGACGTCGATTTTGAAAGCCTTTCATCACTTCAATCGTTCGCCGGCTGATAATAAATATCGCACAAGATCGTATGACCTTTGGCGTGTGACCGGAAATCGGTCACACGCTTAAGTCACGTTAGCATACTGTCACGAATTTTAATACGATTTTCACGTTTGCTTTCGACAAAAAATAGACTCATCGAAAAAAAAATCAGGCCTGCTTTATTTATTTATTCATTTTTTTAATTTTTTTATAGCCTGCAGAACTTGTTTCCCATGCATCGCGCGTGTCTCGCACCCCCAGTCCGCTTCGCAGTGCTAGCGTGAAACTCCAACGTTAGCATACTGTCACTTTTAATACGATTTTTCGCTTTCGACAAAAAAATAGACTCATCGAAATAAAATCAGCAAAAACTGAAATTGACTCGTGTTCTGCAGTTGATTTCTTTTATGGACACCTTCTAGGCATTTACAGGCTGTGAAAAAAGTGTATTTTTTTATTATTATTTTTTGAAGTGCTACATCATTTTCCTATAAATTTCAAACGTGACTGCTAAAAGACTGTTTGGAACCCATGGATGGAGAAAAGCTGTGCCGGAGAGAAGGTCAACCTCCCAGCCGAGCCAACTTTTGCGAGCGTTTATATGAGGAAAAAACTGACCACTTTGTCTGAGTCAACAGTGCTTACGCATGCTGTCTTTGTCTAGCCTTGACCGTGTTGTCCCAGCTAGCTGGGCGAGCCAAAGTGGAGAAATATTAGCCGGGCTAGAAGGGTGAGGCCACCACTACCGGCTCAGTGGAGGGCTGACTTCCGGAAGCCCTCAACCCCGCCCACTACTGGTAGTAAGGCGTCTATCCGAACCAACCTTTTGTTTCTCATGTAAATCGTTTACCAAGTTTTGTAAGGAAATGGAGGAAAAGTTGGCTCGCCCAGGGTAGCTTGGGAGGTGAGTAAACACCAGATAACCCCAATAATAAGCACAAACTTTGATTGTCAGTTAGCCTGCGAACCGCAGACGCATTTCCGCTCGTCGCTTTTCTCCCCCCGAAAAATATTTTTCGGAGGGAGAGAAGCGACGACCGGAAATGCGTCTGCGGTTCGCAGGCTAATTGTCAGTTAGATGTCCACTATTTTAGGTAAGCGACCTGGCATGTGATTGTCGCATCCATGCCCCCTTCCAGATCCCCTTTATTATCGGTAAGCCTCTGATAGGTCAAAGTAATACAGTCGTACCTCCAGTAAGCGACCACCAAAAATGCAAAGACTTAGTGGTCCCTAACGGGAGGTGGTCGTTTAGAAGAATCAGACCACATGGGGTCTATTCCGAGAAGAGGTCTGGCAGGCACATTCTATTAAATGGCGGTGTAACAAATTCCTGGCAAAATATTATCTTTTACCTCTTTTGACAAATACAGCTTTTAAATCATGCTCAATTTAAAGAGGGATTCAGGTGAGTGAGATATAGAATAGTCTAGAATCACAACAGAATCTTCACTTTGTTGGCTACATCTACTAAGTTAGGATAAGTGCGTGTGTTTCCACGATGTCGCTAAAGGTCTTCATATTTTCTAAGGAACATAGTGCACACAGCAAAAATAGAGAGCAGAGAATGCGTCAACTGGTCGCTTATGGAAAACAATTAACCGTGACGCCCAAAAAGTGGTCGCAGTCACTTACAGAAGGTGGTCGTTTACTGGAGGTTCCAACTGTAAGGCTTTGACTGGGAAAATTTGGTCTTTTGGATTGGCGGTCGCACATGGAGGTTCGACTGTGTTAGGTCTATTAGAGTATAAGCCACCATCACCTCACTGTGAGTGACGAGAGCCAGGAAAGTATAGTATACACTCCCTTAGGATACACAGAATCGTTGTTTTGAGGTCCCGTTTCGAGAAATGAATCATTCACGGGAGGTGCTGAAGTCCCATAGTGAAATTTATAAGGTTTATGGGTTTTTAGTGCAAGACGAAACACAATACTTAGGGCCCTGTTGTTCAAACGTTGAACAACAGGAAATCACTATCAAGCGAATAAGAAGAAGCAATTGCGTTACTTATTGGATATAGATTTATCCAGGGGAAAGCGTTAGTCCCGCGGGCGTTAGTCAACTTTTCCTGAACATACAGCCCCTCAGTCACTCTCCTCCGCAGACTTACCCTGGGCGACCAGGATAGGGGAATATAATACTCGACCTTCCTTACATCATCGCGAGAGCCTATAGCCTTCACTTTCTTTTGGCTCGTCCTACAATCCTACCCAACGTTCGTGGGACAGGAAGGTCTGCTTGCGAGGCTTGGGAATCTAGGTAGACTATGGTAGCATGGTGCAAATAGCCGGGATGAGCTACTTTGTCCACCCAAGAGGATTGGGTCTGCTAGAAGAAATCAGGTGTAGCTTTCTGTGATAAGTAATATTCCAACAGTATAGGATCATAGTTTGAAGCCATTTCACAATCACTAGTTTCCGCGCACCTCTGCCGCCGAGTTGTGGACAAAAGCAGCTGATAGCTGTATGCGAACCGTTTTTCCACAAAATGGTTTCTGGGTTTTCGTATTCGACAGTGTCACGTATTGATTTTTTTAATCTTAATCGAGGTCTTTTTAATTATGTACTGTCTATCTGACTGACTGTTTCTTTGTGTTTTTTTTTTTAATAATACAGGTTTCATAATTTGGTCGTGGTTGGGGTTATAGGCTCTGATCGTGAGCAAATAGCGAAAAAAATCAACAAGCAAAACCAAAGTAAACTATAGCGTTGAATCCGTTGGCCACGGAGAATTGGTATTATTCTGCAAGTTCTTTACTACAGCAAGAGAGTATACTCCCTTGACTATGGGACATTGGGCCGGGGAACTTAGTATTTTGACCCGGCATAGGGGAGAGGGGAGGGACGGTGTACTCTGGCCAGATTCAAGTCACGGGATGATCGAAGTATGTTTTTTTTTTGGTTTGAAAATATTTTGAACAAATTTTTTTTTTTTTTTTAGCTGTGGCTTTTGCTTAAGTATTCAAAATATTCGTTCTTTTTTGGTCTTAATTTTCGCTTCCACGGATCACTCACGATGGAATCCACGACACAAAGGCAAAAAGCTGTTTCAAAGCCTGTAGGTAAATAAAAGAAAAATAAATCTGCCCTTTGTACTGCGATGAGAGGATTTCTTGTCAAAAAAATGTGAAAACTGTACTGACTAAAGCGTGTGACCAATTTCCGGTCAAAACGATCTTATGCGATGTTTATTATCAGCCGACGAACGATTGAAGTGATGAAAGGTTTTGAAAATCGAAAAATTTGCGAAATTTTTATTCCTTTGCCTCCTGACTGGTAAAACTCTTGTTTGCTTCGACGTAGACTTTATTTCGATTCACGATTCGGACGCAGTTGCTGAGCAAACGTACGTTTGTCTTTTCAAAAATATATTTTGTGAAAAACGACGCAAAAAAGTTGTTAAAAAAAACGTTGCAATGGTGAGTAATCCTTTTTTGAGATGTCCGACCAAAATTTTGTTGTGTCCGACCAACATGGTGCAGTCCTGGTCCGATTTGAAAAATCGAAGTCATTAACAATTTTTATTCCAAATTTATTTCTTTGTTGTATACCCCTTGATTTTATGATCAAACCAGAGGCCTTTTTATAAAAAAATATGGCATTATAAAAATGAAAGCATTGTTTAAAATTTTCTTTTAGGATTTTCAAGAGTAAGAACAAAATAATAATTCGGTGAAATGTCAGGGAATGTTTCTTAAATGGTTTTTTGCTAGAAAAAATTGTTTTCCTAATTTCTCCTTTAAAATGAATCGTTTGAGCTTATATCTAAAAGGATGTTTTGGCAAAATAACCTTCGATTTTTGACGAGTGTCTTGCTGATAATGAAAAAAAAAAAAAAGATTGCAAAAGTTTAATATTTTGTTTGGACAAAGTTCCACCCTATCCATTAATTTTTTGTTTACTTAATATGTGATGGACTTGTTCGAAAAACAGGTACTATAGAACCAAACAGAATGGTGGGAGGACTTTGATAATGCACATTACTGCAAAGGTTTTCAAATCTGCGACTAGTTGTTATCAAATGAAAATTGCCGTTATTGCAAGACTGAATTTGTAACTTACGATATGCAAGTATGTCCTACTGGCGTTGGCTATGCATAGCTTGGAATTTTTTTCTTGTTTACAAGGAATGTAACAAACGTAAAAAAAGTTTCCTGCCTACACGCTAAATTGCTTTTAAAAGACGATTCTTCAGATTACTTATCACACACCCAGTTTTTTAAGATGTCATTTCATTTTCGTATTGCAGGAGTACGTGCTAAGGGCTTCAGAAAACTTGAATGCTATGGTCGATGGCCTTTTTGCTCGACTTGTTCCATCCGAAAATATGGTAGTTGCAAGTGAAAATCTCACTGTATCTCTAGCGAAGGTTTCTTCCCAAGAAATCAATGGAATTTCTTTAGAAGAAGGACAAACAAGGTTCCAGCTTCCACGAAACCTTGGATATGTTGGTGTGGGAAACTTAAATGCAATGGTAAAAAGCCTGTTGCTTTTCGGCTTCAACTTTTGATGTTTTGTTTTTGTTTCATGTGTCTTTGTTTGTTCCTTTTTCTGTTTCTTTGATTGTCTATGCGAATAACGGGTATTGTTTTTGTATTCATTTTTAAAAGCGTGTTTCCCTTCATGACATTTGCAAAAATGATATTTGTCAGGAATACATAACAAAAAGGCAAAGAAAGCCTACTAACCCCCCCCCCCAAAAAAAAAAACAAGTAAAAGAAAATTTAAAAAAATAAAATAAAATAAAGAAAGAAACAAAAAACGATACTGTGAAATATTGGGTTGTGTAAAAGTCCAAATCTGACTTGTGAACTCTAGATATGAAAAAAAGAGCAAATTATTTAAAAAATGTAGTTTTTGCTTGTAATTAAGGTTTAACGTATTCAGAAAGGGTGCAAAATATTAGAATACAGCCCATTAGGAATTTTTGAGCAAGTTTACATTCGGGAAGGGTAAAATCCCCAGAAGTTGAAAGAGACGCGACAGAATAGTGAAGATAAAAGATGGAAGATACCCACATGATTTTCCAAAATATGGACTCGATTTCCGTCGGGGAACCCGACCAGGCTTATGACATTTACCGAACACGACATTTAGCAACTTACATCATTTATCACTACACAGCATGTAATGATTCCTCATTGTTGGCCTTAGAGGTGTGCAGGACGCGTGTCACATTCGAAACTAATAAATGGCTCTGTTCAATAAGGGTTGGTCCGTAACTAAGGGGGTAGAGCTTCTAATGGGCAACTGGTTGGAATCCCTCGATCTTAGACTTGCATTTTTCCATTGTCACATGCCCTTGAAATTACAATTAGACACGTTAAAATAGGCCTTAGAAGTTAAAAAGAAGTCAGAAATGCCTGTTCGTACAACAGTTTAATGGCACTGAAAAAGGAATATAAATTATCCACTATTTTACATGGCTATGCACTTAAGATCTCTTTTTCCGTAGATGTTAACAATGAGCTTTAATCCTTACACCTGGGACAACAGCAGCTCGGCGATCCAGTCAAGTGTCACCAGTCTTGAACTCCAAAGCAACAATGGGACAAAAACTAACATTTCAAACCTTGATGAAGACATCGTAATAGTGATTCCAATTTTAAGCCCATCAAAGGGCAATGTAGACGATAACTTTGTGCCAGAACATTCCTTTCTGAAGCCAAACAAAATGTCCGTCCGAAGTTATCACGCGGAACTTGCAAATGTTCCTGTGTCGATTGAGATGGTCGTCACAGATAAAGGTGTCTTTGTTGTGGCAGTGTTAATTAAATTTGGTTCCAGGCCTGATATTGGCAACTTCGATCACAATTTCACCAACACGTTTAAGTCAAACTGTGAAAACAAAACAGAAGGCAAACAGAACGAAGGATCCTGTTCTTCAGAGGAGACTTCTATGATAGTAGTGCCACCAAAACAAGGCTTAATTTATGTGGGGATTTTTCTTCTTGGGGCTGCTAACACTGGCGAACACTCCAGAGAAAGAAGATCCTGCTTCGGCCATGGTCGACAAAGGCGCTCCTGTGTTGGCTTCAAGGATCCACCCCCAAACGGCGTCACGACAACGGTTATTCCCCAGTACGACCCGTCCACAGATGTTAACTATACCATAAAGATAACCCAATCAAGCTGTTTATATTGGTCAGAAGATAAAGACAAGTGGACATCGGATGGCTGCCAGGTAAATCTATTCCAATTGTGAGATTGAAAGTAATAAATTAATGATCTGTTTTCTTGAGAGTTACTCAGCTTGTCACGTTGATCAGGTGGTGTCAAAACTAGATTCATCAAAATCCTTGTGGAGTCACAGGCATCCCAAGCTCATGTTACGAGTGCGGAATGTAAATTTACTTTATCGCAAAAGAGTCGGTTTTGCATTACAGGCTACCGATGAGACGTTGTATGAGAAAGTTTTTATGAGAAATAAAATACTGAGGTCTGCGAACGCTAAATATCGTAATATTTTACTTTTTGTTCTATAAAAAAAAAAAGGAGACTTGCCTTTGACATATTCCTGTGTTTTTTTTGGTGAGAATTCATCGGTTTAGTCCTTTCTTTGGCTGTTCTTGTGTGACCTCTGTAACTCCCATCATAATATGGACGCCCGTGTTGGTGGAGTTTGAAACTATTATTAAATGCCCTTGTACCTGAAAAAGTGCACCTCCTGTTGAACCCTCCTAAATTTGAAATCCTTTGCCTCCAGTTTAACAGATATTTTAAAAAGAAGCTATTTCACGCTATTTGCTATTCTTTTAAAAAGCTGAAACTTGTGTTCGTATTAATTGAATTGCAACAATAATGGTCCAGTTTTTCTTCTTTAAAGCTATATTAAGGCATTTCTTGTTGTCTGCTACAACAGATGTCAAGGATGGACATGGATTAAAACTGATAAAGTTGGGCCAGCTTTTTTCAATTTCTACTGGTATGCTTCAGGCTGCCGAAAAAAAAATAAAATAAAAATAAACAAAAAAATACACAATGCTTACTGATGAAATTTGCTTTACATGTTTTTGGTGTCTCTTACGGAACATTTTGTTTGTGGGTAAGTGCACAAAGTAATGACTTCGGAACAGAACATCGGCCTAAAAAGCCGCAATATATTATCTTGGTGACATAGCCCCTTTGAGTACACCATAATCCATTACATTACACTCCCTAAACAATAGCATACGAAAAACCATACATATATTTACTAGCACTTTCTCGTTTTTGCTAATAACAATTAAACGTTTTTACTTTTGTAGGTTGATTCCGAGACAAACACATCCCATCTCGTTTGCCGTTGCAATCACCTTACCTCCTTCGGGGGTAACTTTATTCAGGCGCCCAACCCAATAGACTTTGATAAAGTTTTCACTGAGTTTCTGAACATTTCTGAGAGTGGAAACATTTCGGTACTGGTGACCATTGTTTGCGCCATTCTTTTCTACATTCTTGCAATAGTATTTGCATGGAAAGCGGATAAAAGAGATGAAAACAAGGCGAGTAGCAAGTAAATTTTATTCCCTTACTTTCGTTCCTATTTGTTATGCTTATATGTGCATGTAGAAGGAAAAATAGAAATAAAATAGCGGTTGCAACTATACAGCTAATGAGCCCGTGAGGGGGAGGAGATCAACACAGTTTTATACGGGGAGGCTCCACCGCGCGGTCTTCCCCGCACCCTTTTATATACCGTTCTTGCCTTCCATTGACAAATGATATCTCTTTCACATACTTAGTTTAAAAGTTGTTTTTTCTCTCTTTAACTGGTGCAAATGAACCTTCTTTAAGATATGAATAAATCACTAAACTAAAACGTTTTCTCTCCTTTTTCACAGCCATAAAATGCACCTGTTAGCCCCTTTGGGCCTTTCTGCAGACCAAAATGACAGATTTCCCTGGCCTTTCATATACCTCAGCTAGATAAATCTCTACTCATATGTATACCTGAAGAATGAAAACGTTACCCGTTCCGCGGGGAGCCTCCCCGTATTGGCCATAACATGGAGTACCCCCATAGGAATCTTGAGTCCTTGAAACACTCGTGTATTTGAATAAGGCACAAAAGCATCATTTTTGTGCTTACAAATGCCTGCACTGTTATTTTCACTTGCCGATGTTGTCGAGTCTAACAGTTTTCATACATATTTACATTGCCTTCATGTTAACTTACAAGGTTCTTATTGCCTTTGAATTTTAGATGTGTCCTCCAAAGTATGTTACCATCGTTGATGACGGAACCTATTATTACGACATGGTAATTTGCACAGGTGTTTGGAAAAATTCAGGGACAACAGCAAACGTGACAATCAGTATTAAAGGTGAAATAGACGAGTACAGTCACATTCCATTGCGTAGTAAAGACGAATCAAGAGAACTGTTTGCGAGAGGGAGCATAGATGGATTCGTTTTGATCACTAATGAATCGCTGGGGCCTTTAAAGGAAGTAACTTTAGAACATGACAACGCACAAGACAATCCGTCTTGGTTTGTGGAAACAGTATTAATTAGAGATAGGCAAACCGAGGAACAGTGGACCTTTCCGTTAAATAGGTGGCTCGCAGTAGAAAAAGGTGACGGCTTAATAGAAGCAACTGCAAACCATGGAATCGAGAGTCCCTTTACAGATCAAGTACGCACCCGTTTTGGAAGAAAAATTGCAGATAGTCATCTGTGGATATCTGTGTTTGGTAAGGCCCCTAACAGCACGTTTACACGAGTGCAAAGAGCATCGTGCTGCCTCTCAGTTCTTTTCAGCGCTATGATTGCCAATGCTATGTTCTACGATATTGGCGGAGAATCTGAAGGTACTATTTACGTTGGACCGTTTAAGGTTTCCTGGCGACAGGTCGTCGTTGGCGTGCAAAGTGGATTAATAGTTGCACCTGTTAACATTGTCATTGTCTTACTGTTTAATTCAAGCAAACCAAGGAGTGTCAAAGCAGACAGCTACAACGAAACAGATGATGTCCAGCAGCTCATCGATCAAGTGAAAGACGCAGGCTGCATGTTACCTTACTATTGCGTGTACCTGGCATGGTTTCTTTGTTTCGCCACAACAATTACAGCAGGGACTTTCACTTTATTTTACAGCTTAATGTGGGGAAAAGAAGTGGCAGAGCAATGGCTTGCGTCTATTTTGATCTCAAATGGTCAGGAAATCTTTATTTTGGAACCGGGGAAAGTAATGTTGGCTGTTGTGGTTATTTCCTTGCTTGCGACAAGAAGCAAGGAAAACAGTAAAGAATTTGAGGCATCGAGTACAGATGTTTGTTTAAATGAGATCGATTTAATTTGTGATAACCCTAAAGAGTGCTACAAACAAGGTCAGCTAGACGTCATGCGCGAAAGAGCCAAAAAGGAAGAAAAGTTGGCAAGCGTAATGAAGGAAATTGTTGTACATTTAATATTTGTGTTTCTGTTGGCGATGGTCTGCTATGGAAACAAAAATAGTCATCGCTTCATGATGTCAACCACACTATTGAAACCATTCCCAAAGTTTGATAAGGTGAGCATCTGTGGTTTTACCATTCATAACGGATTTGTTTACTTTAATTTGTAACCACTTATGATTATTAGCATAGTTCTAGTTTTGAACCACCAATATAGATATGGTATGGCCGAGAGTAGTCTGTATACGCACGGCTGTGCGTATAGGAGGTGACATTTTCGGTTGTGTTTCCAGAAAATGGGTTTCTGCCTCCTGCTTTTGAGTCTCCTGATAAAGGAGGGAAATAAGTAAGTACTTTGTAACATTTTTTGAATCAATTTTCTGGCAAGTCAAACGAGGAGCAAAGGCGGTGGAAATTAACCAGTCCACCGTTTCAAGAGCTTAGCAGAGCCCGTTAATTTTGGCAGAATCCAATGAGGGCTTTTAACTTCCTCGTGGCAAGTGATCCACTACAAACGATAGTTTTACGTCCCTGTGGCGAGTGTGCAAGAACCAACGATTTTTAGGTATTTTAGGTCTGTGAGAACCATCCATTGGTACGCGTATAGGTTTTTTAAATTTCTTTAGCCGCTTGAATTCAAGCAGAAAATACGCAGCAAATTATCTGGGGCGGAAAACATCCCTTAAATTAGACAAATCACGCAATAGCTAAAACATCAAACAATTTCAGCACTTTTTGGACCAATTGCATTAAGGTAATCTCAAGAAGTCTTGTGGCCGGTACGCCTTCCTCCATTGTTCGCAAAGAAGTTTAGGGTAATATGACAAACTGTAACGTCTTCGCCATTAGAACAAAAGCAAGTTTCCTGGATTTCCCCGACCGCAATGTGACGAGCATATTTATTTAACATTTAGCTCTGTGTGGGCTTTAAAACTCTCTCGTCCTCGTCAACGTTGCTATTGATAGTTGACGATATCGGTTCATACTTTCAGCTTTTGGTTTGTCGTGTTTAGGATGAGAAAGCACATGAGATTTTATATAACTTAACAACCCTTTCAGAATCACAGCTTTCTGTTCCAGTAGAGATGAGAATTGATGCGTTGTGGTTTCACTTCATTTGAGCAGCTTGCTTTTTATTTCAGGTGACTGGAACGTTGAAGCTGAGGTGGTGGATAGGGCATGACTTTCTGCCAAAGTTTTACAGCCAACAATGGTACAATGGACTTAAAGACAGTGAAAATATATACATCGAGAACAAGATGTCCATATTAGTCGGTATGCCATGGATGCGGCAGTTGAGAGTCAAAAAAAGTGAGCACCTGTTTGTTTGTTATGCAAAATAGCTGTTGTTGCTTTTGCCTTGCAAACATTTCCTTGAAATATAAATCTCGAGGCCTTTTTGCGTCCTAGGATGTCTCGGGAGAAGGTAAAAGAAAGCTGGCGGAAAAAGATGTGAAGAGGAAAGAGAAGAAGAAACGCTTTCGTCTTCTCCCTCTTTCCGCCTTCAACCACAGGCGTAGAATTTTCTAATAAATATTTTTATGTCATTGGAAAACTCAGCGGGAGCCTTTACTGTGGAGAGAAAAGTTATTCTATGAGCCACTTCTGTCATTGTTGATATCGCTAAGGCTATGTACATGTAGCTCACATGCAATAGAAATATTAAAATTACTGTTATTTTTCTTTTAAAATAGAAAAAAAAATTGTTCTTCATTTAAGGTCCCTGTAAGTCGCTCCTTCAGTTTATTCCAGACTGTTACTATGACTACTGCACTGCACTTGAAGACACCACGCCACTGAGTCTTCCAGGATGGGAGCCAATACCCTTGAATACTTCATGGCCAAGAGCCCTTCAGCTATGCCCAAAGCCTTGGCGTTACCGAACTGGTAAAGAACTGGACAATGGCCGGATAAGAGGAACTTACAATACCTACGACGGAGGCGGCTATGTTGCTCTCATGGGATATGACTTTGAAACTGCCCAGGCTGTTCTAAGCGAGACTTTTGGTCATGGATGGGTTGATCGAAAAACACGAGCGGTGATCCTGGAGTTCGCAGTGTTCAACGTCAATACAAATCTCCTTAGCATCGCTACGTATTTTCACGAGGTTCTTGCCACCGGCGTTGCGTTCACAACAAGGAGGGTCGAGACCATCGAGTTGTTCACCACAGAACAAGGGGCTGTTATATTCTACCATATTTGCCAGTTTCTTTTCATGACTATGGTTTTTTATCACTTTATCATGTTGCTGTATCACCTTTACCAAAGCCGTTTTGATTTCTTTAAATCAGTTTGGAATATGGTCGACTTTTTAATGATCATATCCTCTGTAGCGTCAGTGGCGTTCTATATGGTCAAATCAAAGACTGTTCTAAATAATATCAAATCCATCCAGAATAATCCTTATTATCTTGTGCATTTCCACGCCGCCTTGCATTGGGCAAACTTGGAAAATTCTGCAATTGCTATTGCCATATTCATGGTGACGATTAAGCTTCTGAATCTAATTCGCTTTAATCCTTACGTCATTTACTTTTTTTCGTCTTTCCGTCAGTCGGTAGCCTATCAGCTGTCGTACCTTTTTATTTTCCTGCTAATGTTTCATGGCTTTGTTATATCAGGAAGACAGTTTTTTGGCGACACAGTCCGTGAATACTCTAGTTACCTGCAGGCAGTTATATCTCAGTTCGAATTTCTTTTGGGAAAAGCTGTTCCACTTGATGATTTGCGACGTGAGCACCCAGTTTTAGGCCCCTCGTTTGTTTTCGTATACATGTTAACAATGACGATCGTTCTCATGAATATGATAGTTTCTGTTCTAAACGAGTCCTATATCGATGCCAAAACTTACGTAGAGGAAAGTGCTGAAGATCTTGAAATGGCACGTTTTATAGCGCAAAGATTTGAGGAACTGCTAAGAGGCAACAAGAAGCGACCAGAGTTCAAGTTATACTGTGATGAAGCAACATTCATGAACATGTGCCAGTCGGAAGCCGAGCCGAACTGTTTAAATTCTGAAACCATTTTCAAGTGTACAGAGGAGAGACTAGAAAAGGTCGAGAAAAGACTCTCGGCCCTCATTCGAGGCTCAGAAAAGATGAATGCTGACAATGAACGAGAGGAAGCGGACTTTCTTAAGCTCCTCAATATTTTGGCCACTTTTAACAAAAGTGGACCAATCTCGAGTAAATCTCCATGTTAATTGACGTGAAATGTTCCAAGGTATTAATCTGAAGGAACTCGCTGTCACTAACAGTTTTTTCCTAAGGAAGTCTTTCAGTGAAAGAGACTTGCATGGAGTGCTGCAGATGAAGTGAATATGGGAGGGTATTGGCAAGAATTCATATCATTAATCATTTCCATATTTTTGAAGTAAGTAAAAGTGATTCCCCGACTAAAAAGCACAGTGTATTACGCACTTCGAATTAAATCGTAAGTGCTTTCTCCGAGATACTTCAACCTTTTCCGATCACCAAGACTAGTAACTGGCCAGTGATACTGGTTTATTTAAATTACTTTTACCGCTAAAAGAGTTTGGTAGTTTTACAACTTCGATTAATAGCCTTAATAAAGATCGGTGTCATTCAAATAAAATGTCCGTTGCTGTTGCATTGTTCCATTCCCTGCTACTAGATTAACTCTGTTCAGACTTAGAGGGGGGGTGTTGGGGACGGTTAAGGTCACACGAAACGTTAAAGTTGACTAGCGTAAAAACAATCAAGCTACGATCAGAAAACTTAGCTACTTTCCCTAAATTTATCTGGTAACGTTTTAAAATCGTGATGTACGTTAACGTTACCTTTGCAACCGAGTTTTGATTGCCCTGTTAAGCAAGATTTGTATGTACCTCCAAAACGACGTTTTTAAAATATCTCTGATTGAATTACAGTATTAAATTACAGTTTAATATTACTTTAGCAAATCTATTAAAGTGTTAATGTTATGTAGATTTTTTTTTAGAAAACTGACATGCATGTTAAATGACCAAATGACAGATGTTAAGTCCAGTTTACTACCATATTCATTTCTCTCTGAACAGGCCTTTTGTAACCAATATACATAAAAGTTTTGACAAAAACTGTATATAATTTACAGAAATTTGCTCTTTCTGTTCCCATTTTCCAAAGTGCACTGTGTTCGTGCTTCCGGAAATATGAACACGTGACTAGCTATTGCGAGAGGCCATTATTGGCAGAATTTCGACACTAAGATTTTTAAAACCATCGTTACTCAAGAGAATTCATCGTTGCTGCAGGCTGATTTAAGGAATCTCGCCTCCTGGTCATCTTCTATTGGCCTAGCCCTTACTGAATCTGAATGTAAACTGTAACGGATAACTAGAAAGCTCAGGCCTGTAATTACCAGCGATGAATTGAATGAGCATGCCCTTGGAATCTCCACTGTGGAAAAAGACCTAGGTGTTGTCATTTCTGACAACCTCTCGTGGGACAAACAGGTTTTTGCGGTCTGTTCAAAGTCTAACAGGATGCCAGGTTTCGTCCGGCGCAACATCAGGTGTATTAAGAACGTGTCTGTAAGACGATCCATTTATTTAACGTTAGTGAGGTCCCACTTTAGGTAAGCAACACAAGTGTTGGCCCCTCAATCGATTGAACTGGTTTGCAAGATGGAGCGGATTCAGCGACGAGCTTCAAAATACATCCTCAATCTTCTATTTCATTGTCAACAATCATATAAGGATAGGCTTATTCAATTAAACCTGCTTCCCCTGACATACTGGCACGAATATCTTGACGTTAACTGGGCGTGTTGAAATTAATCCAACTGTAATTTGACTGTAGTTACTCCTCGGATATGCGCTCCAAAAGAAACCCTAGATTTACTAGCAATCCTGATATCACTTTGTTTTTAATCAGGTCCTGTAAAACAACAATCTTTCAAAAATCGTTCTTTAACAGAACTAGTAGCATATGGAATGCCCTTGCGGCAGACCTTGCACTATTCTGTATTTGTTCTTTAAGTTCTTTTAAAACTGCCCTTTACGGAATTACAAAAACAAGTTCTTGTCGTTTCCTACAACCTTGATGACCCTCTCTCTTTCAAATCTATATGCTTGACCTGTAATGCTCCCCATAATTTAGGACGGAACATCACCTGTTGTTTTTAGATAGTATTGTAGTTTTTAATTTTTTTTAGCGATCAGTGTCTTGGGCCGGCAGTAATTGGCGTTCGCTATTGCTGTGTCCCGGCACTTTACTCCTGTGAATATATGTACCTTTTTTGTTTTTTTTGAATGTGTTTTTTTTTTGATGTAGTGTCACTCATCGTATTGTTTGGCTAAGTTAGTGAAAAAAAAATTGGGCTGCTTAAGCATACACAAATCAAATTTTATATCACAATTACCTCCCTTTTTCGGATTTAAAGCAAAATAGAAATATCCTCTGTGGTTTTCGTTCGTGTGTTGTTTACATGTTTGTATGTGCGGGCTGTAATACCTGCTACATCGGAGAAACGACCCGGCATTTTCCACAACCGTACGAGGTGAGCATTTGACCTCTGATAGGGCCTTACACTTATTCAAACACCTGCAAGACTCTAAGAAATTTCAAGGTTTATGTTGTGGTTGGGTTCCCTGTTTTCTTGTTGCCCTCCCTTTTAGATCACGTGATGAGTTTTCTTGTTGTACGAAGTTACTCGATCTATCATATTGGAGCGTTTCACACGAAGTAACAACGTTTTAACGCTTGATAACGTATATACATATCCTTGTTTGTACGGATTGGTTGGTCTTGTCCGACGTATATGTATCCTTGTTTGTACAGATTGGGTTGTTTTGTCCAAATAAAGCGTTAACGCCAGTTTACGAGTGGATTTGCACCTTACAGTTTATGTTTACCCTAATATATTTCACAGGACTAAATATCTTAGATTATACTGTTAAAGTTTTCTTTCCTATTAAGCATTCTATAGTCGTGGAAAGTTATGAGTAGATTATTACTTATATATTTTGTGGCCGTATCATAAACGGTTAAAGAGTTATAGAGGGGGACCTCTGACTCCTCCTCTAAAGCGCCAGAGCGTAATAGAGTTAAAATAGCTGTCTTTCGTTTTGACATTCTTTCATGTGATTAGACTGGTGACAATTTTCAACAGTGTAAGCTTCATGGAATATAAAACTCTTTGTTCAAACGAGGTACTTTCGAAGTTGCTTCTAGATCAGTATTTCTTCTGTTACCTAGGGTTTTCAGAAAAGCAGAAAATTGCCATCTATCCAACTGTGTCTCCCCATTGATATATTCAAGAGAACGACGTAAAAGATCTTGTACACGATCTCCAGAGTGCATAACCTTTTAAGCACATAAAATCGTCACCGTTACTACCACCTTTTCAGGACTACACCCACACAGAACAAGAAACCCTTCTGATGGCATGATTTCTGTTGGCTTTTTTTCTATTTATTATTCTCGTTAGGTTTTTTGTGAAACAATGCGGAGGCAAATGTAACTTTTGTTACTTTGCAAGCAGGGTAGCTATTGGCAGAAGGAAATGCCTTGTGAAAATCCATCAGAAGCTTATTTATTGATTTTGGCGCTTTTGCCTTAACGTTTTGATACTCCATGAGCATAATGTTAACGAGACCTCTTTGGCTAATGTGAAATGCATCCTCATCATTCGAGTTTTCCACAGCCTCTTCTAGAGGTGCTCAGAAACTATGCAGTATATGGGGTCAAATTTCCAGAGATCACAATTGGTGCTTTGTATGCTCTTTCAATATTTAATAGCCTGATCGGGGGAACGATTAGCATGTATTTATATGGCAAAAAGTGTGAAAAAAATATTTTCCTATACAGAGAATTAGTTGTTATGATACGCTACCGTGAAATGACTGGTTGGAATTTTTAATGTCGTAGTCATAGTAAATCTCCCACTCATATTCATAAACTCAGGTTGCTATTACTAATAGCACTAAAAGGTCTTGCTTGTAAGATTGCCTTGCTTCCAAGGCATAAAACCAAGGCATAAAAACACACCGCTACGCCACACCTACCAAGTCAGAAGTGAAGTGACTCACCCGTAATTAGTCCTAAGACCAATTCCATTTATTTTCAATTCTTTTTACTCACTGGGCAAGTTCTCCAGGCTTCTTTGAACTTGCCCCTTATTGTGACCCCCGGCCACGTTCCAAAATAATTAAAAAGAAAATTCAAGTCCAATAACTTGTAAATCCACCCAATCGACCGTGAAATTTATGTCATTACAAAGAAGGTACAGAAAAGTCCCGTTGTGAAAAGATGGAGAAATTGTAAAAATATCATAACAGTTTATGAAGAAAACTTAAACGAAATTAAAGTGCTGTTTATTGTGTACCGGTAAACTTTGATTACACTAAGAGATTATCCTTTTTTCTTTGATTTACCCAGCTAAACCCTCAGAAATTATTTCTCAAGGTCAAGATCGATCGAATAATCGCGACAGAGCTTATGTGATTAACGTGGCTGGTAAATGACTGACATGCCCGATACCTATTTGATTTATGAATTAACTTCACTATGAGGTGATAACATCTATGGCATTTCAACAAAAGCGACAATAAGCCCGCATGGTGCGTGACATGTACAATGGTATAGATCAAGCAGTTGTCTCCAGACTATTTTTGGTGTATAGTGAACGTTTCCAAAGCATTTTTGCTTAGCTGCATCAGCTTACGGCACAGTCCCTAATAACATGGGCAAATCTAAATGTTTAATTCATTAAATTTACGCAATTTCCCTTATAACAGATATACAATTTAAATATTAATCCAGTTTGTTAGACGTTTTGTCGAATGTTTGTATTTGACTCCAAAATTGGTTTGAAGAGAATGTAGCAATGTAACAAACAGCGCAAAGCCTTTTTTGCAATATAGTTGTAATGACCCAAAGCTTTACAAATGGGTCACATAACTTCTATTTTTTCGGGACTCATAAAAATTGTAAAGTCGCAGCAATTTGCGTACACGTTGCTATTTATTTACTAATTCTCATCCTTTAGCCAAATTTAAATCAATAATCCTTTCTGAAAACATCCAAAACAATGCACAAAACGGATTATTCTAGACAGATATCAACAAGTTCTGTTTTCAAAATATGGTTTTGTTCTGGGGGTAATGTCCTGGAGACCCATCGGTTAACTAATAACTTTGGAGAGTCATTTCAAATATTTATGTGTATGGTCATTATCCAAAGGGAGCTATAGCCAGCCCAGTGCTCTTCGACGTCCAAACATATAGAAAAATGCTTTAACTTCGCCAGGAACAGTAGGCCAACAATTTATTTTACGACAACTTATTCCGAATTGTCGAAATAACTTATGAGGTAAGTCCATGAAAACATGTAATTTGTTTTTAAGCTGCATGACCCTTGTTCCGTTTAAATGATATTGGAAAGTGCGTCGTAATATTCTGAATCATTTTTGCAAAGATATTCGTTATCTTTTTTTCAAGACAAGTTAGCTTTTATAAGACAACCAGCACCAGCAAGTGATCCTTGTTTACTTAGACTGGGAGCAAGGCCCCATACATTTTCTTCATCATTCAGGACGTCTTTAGTTTTGTTACAGTTTTCTTATAGCGCTAAAATTTATCTTAGAACGCACCTTAAATGACTCACCACTCACTGACACACAAGTGCTCTAGAGAATTAAGGGTTTCTGTTAATTTTCTCAGTGAACTGGATCCCTGTTAAGATCACCACCTCCAGGCGATGAAAATGTGGATCTCAAAGTGAGTACCACTTAGAATTTTTAAACTTCATAATACTGGGTATCAATCAATTTCAGATACAGGCGAGCGCACGCACTTGGGGAAAATCATTGAAACTGAATACTTTTAAACATAAGAGACTTTCCAAAACCGCGTCAATATTCGCGAAACTTCTGTTAAACAACGAAATATTATACATATTACTTGATCGTTTGTTCGAATGGTCAGGTAAGCTGTAAGTGGGTTACTGGAGAGGTGGTCGTTGATGGTATAACGGGTGAAGTACAACTCTTGAAGGAAAGTAATGAAAACTTTTGCGTTTCAAAAAATTAACAGATACAGCTTGGATCACTATTCCCATGTATCCTGTTTATCTGTTGCTTTGGAGTGAAAATTGTCTCTAGGCGGGTCGAATGGAAATCTTCAAGCCGATAGGCTAACTACGCAAGTAACAATTTTCCTTTAAATGACGGCCAAATTACAGTGCACTTGAAATATCTCATGAATATTTATTGGGTTATGACCAATCATGTCAAAGATCAGGACACGCAAACTGGCCACAAAACCACAAACTAATTAACGTTCCTGCTTGCGGTTTCTCACGCCTGATTGGCTTTTCTCTTGCAGGACAATAACATTCCAGAAATATTTCTGGTGTTCACGGTTTTCACTGTTTGACTGTAATAGGTCTAAAGTTTTAGTGATTAACATCTTTCTTTTACATTTTTGTTCACACAGAATGATGATTTTGATTGTTGGTTATGTTATGGCCTCGGCCCTTAGTGGAGGTGAGGCCTATGCAGGTAAGTGGGACCGTTGTTTGCATTCGATTGGACGAATCTATTTATAGAAATGCTATCCCTGAAAATCGCTGTAAACTATGATGGAAAAACAGTACTGAGTCTCTGCGTTTTAGAAACTTCCAGTTGTTGCTTTATATTTTGTGTTTGGGTTGCCTGTGATGTAATTTGCATGTCTTAAGTACTCTTAAGGTAAGTCAAAGAGATCTGGATCTATGTAAATAAGGGTGGGCTCCTTTTTTGCGCCCACGTTTACGCTCCCACGGCGTCTTAATTGTTTTGTTTTTGCCAGGAGAACGCGGTAAAGCCAGTCTGACTGGTATTGATACAGTGTAGTAAGTAGTCTACCTACAGCAAGATAAGCCCCGTTTTGGGACAGCTCAGGATGGTTTTGGGATAGCTAACAGTGGGGATAGTCGATGACGTCACTTCATTACTAAAACCTATCCCTTTATCAAAATTCATAAGTGTCTAGTAAGTAGATAGTCATTTCTCTTCGAATGTAAGAATGTTTTGCAAAAGTACAGTTACTTGCACATAAAAAGAAAACAACTATCCACTAATTATAAATGAAGGAACGCATTTTACCTTTACCAAAATAGTATGCAGGAAGACAATTTTACCTAGGCACTTAATTAACAGTTGAAAAGAAATGACTATCCACTTACTAGACACTTATGAATTTTGATAAAGGGTTAGATTTTAGTATTGTGGTGACGTCATCGACTATCCCTACCATTAGCTATTCCAAAACTGGGCTTCGCCTCATCAAATTCAATAGCGCGAGCGTGCTCCATATTCCCATTGAGCACGCTGATTACGTCAACAAACTAATAACTGGAGTTCTTGTGAGCTTAGCAATCCATGGCCAGTCCCAAGTACATCTATAACTCAACAGTACACGAGGAAACGTATACAAAGTGTTTGGCATTTACTTCGTGTACCGTACACAGATGAAGTAAAACAGAGGAACAAAAACCATCAAACAATACCAAGTAGATTATTCCCTGAACAGAATAAAGGGATCTTTTGTTTTATGTCATCTGTGTCCGGTACACGAAGTAGAGAACCAAGTGTTTTATAATGTAATCTAAAGACTAAGGCTTTTGAATTTGTTGGGGAGTGAGATGAGTGTTGTTGTTGTTGTTGTTGTCATCTGCGCGAGCTATAGAGTGTGCAAATCATTCTTTGCAAAGGTTTTTAAGTTAAAAAAGACTTTTTTGGTAAATTAATAGCTTTTTACGTCAACATGATTCTAAAAACTCTTTTAAATGTTATCTTAAGCGACTTCTGTAAACTTTCGCTGTGTTTGAAGCATTTGCAAACATAGCTGAGTCAAAAACAACAAATAGTCCAATAGACATTGAAAATGTTATAAAACAATTGGTTTATGCTTCAGTTATGCGTATGTTGGGATATAAAGCACTTGGGATGTTTGGAGAGAACTCAAGAAGTTAGAGTTGCTCTCGGCGCGTGCTCTCCAAACTTCCCAAGGGCTTCATGATCATATCTCGAAATTAACGCACGCTCACTCATGAAACAATGGTTAAATGATATATGCTGGACGATGCATCGAAAGGTATATTCTCTCTTATTTTAATATTCATGTCGAAATGTTGAAACAAGCAACAGATTAGTCCATAACTCAATTCCTGTAAGGTCTGAGACTGGTTGGAGGAAGCTCGAGCGCTGAAGGAAGAGTAGAAGTACTTCACAATGGCGTCTGGGGAACCGTTTGTGATGACTCTT